GTAGTCCGTAGATCACCAGTAAGTGGGGATGGTTGTTAAACAGAAATTCAGCAATCCCATCGGTTATCCAACCGTTATTTCGACCAATGCCAATCAGATTTATCAGTCCGTTCCTGGTGCCTTGTGAGGGATCCTTCACTAATGCCTATCACATAAAATCCCAATAAAATAAATTTACATTTTTGGTTGTAACATGACAAAATGTGGAAAATTTCAAGGGGTATGAATACTTTTTCAAGGCTCTGTACCTTCCTATCTATTTACTAATGCTAGCAGTGTAAGGATTCAAAATAGGCAATGTTAATTGAGAGAGTTTAGTTCTGCTCTAGCACTGTCGCTCTTAATCAAGCTTCAATGGAACCCTCAGATGATTGCCAAGGGTTCCTTGAGCAGTAGCAGATGGACCTCACACCTGACAATGCTTGTATTTTTTTCAAGGACAGCATCACTCAAAAAGAACAAAAGCATGGCACCAGTGGAGCCTCTCCTCTTGTCTCTCAAATATGTACCACTGATGCCAATCATTTTTTAGCTGTCCATAAGCCTTCCTTCTTTTGACCACTAATGTCAGTGGCACTTTCCCAGCAGACCCCAATGTATTGGGGCATGTAATGTTGCTTCCTATTGACCCCCAATGTATTGGGACATTCTTTCTTTTCTGGCCATTAATATTGTTTGTTTCATTTTATTGTAATGATTTATTACTGAATATGTTGTTATAAAGAGGGTGCTATAAAATGATCCACCATAGGTATCCAGTACTCTAGGTATACATTATCCTTTTATTGGTTCTTATATCTGCATCTTACTGATCACACTAATGTTACTGTAGGAATCCTTTTTAGAGGAGTTTCCTCAGACTTGAAAATTGTTTAATGGGTTTCTCTTGGGTAAAAAGGTCAGGAAAAGGCAGGGTTAAGAGCTAGGATACTGCTGGGGTTAGGAGTTGGAGGCTGTTGAAGTTGTTGATGGTAGGGCTTTAGGAAAAGTAAACCGTGTTAAAGCAAACCAATGCAAAGCAACAGGTTCCCTATGAGGTTGGTCCCCTATGCTGTTGCTAATTGCCTTCCTTTTACCCCCTGCCAAAGTAGTGAGAAACCCTCTATAAGATCTGAGTCAATCTAGGTGATGTTTTTACAGAGATTAGCATCTTTGGTGGAAAGGGAGCAAACCACACATCTACCAATCATTAGATGTGGTGGCTGCATCTGTTTTCTTTTCTTTGGCTTTTTTTCCCTCTGTTTTCCCTGGAGATCTAGCCAGTAACACATTCCCTGTATTAGTGAAACTCAACTTTGGAGGAATGAACACAGGCGACACAGCAGGCAGCAGCATTGTAAGTTTGAGGGAAGAGGAGTGTTAAATGTATTAGCAGATTTAACACATAATATAATAACAAATTGAAGCCAAACTTCAGCTCACACTTTGTTCTCAGTTACAGCAACAGTTTTTTTTTCCTTTTGTAATAAAGGTTTTACATGAATAAATAAAAGCTGATCATTGTAAACACCCCTGTCAGTGGTAAATCGATTGTCTTATCCATGTAAACTGATACATTCTGTTGGAGAGCTTCTGAAAAACAACACTGGATCACTAGATAAAAATAGATTAAAGAAAGCCTAAAAAAGAAAACAAATGCAGCTATCTAAGAATTGGTAAACTGCAATATAATAAATGTTTGCTTTTGGGTTTAATATTGCTTTAAGCAGCCAGCATTTTCAAAACACAATGGCAGCCCAATGATCTCTCTTAGCACAGCCCTGACTAGTTCTTTGTCATTCACTCCCTGTTTGTTTTGTCATTGTGAAGTAGGTCAATATAATCACAAGCAAGCTTTCGTATATGTTCATGGATGCATGTAAGGAGTGTTCCTACCACTGCGTGCTAGAATGCCCTTAGAAATGTTGAAGTAGAAGATAAATGTGTGCCTGCAGCTCCTATGCTTCCTATGTGAGTCAGCCCATATATACCCCAAATACGTCAAGAAGTTAAACGGTTAAGATATCTAAATACATAAATAAGAAATATTTCTCTGTATCCACATCTGCTATCTACCGATCACAAAGAGCTGCCTGGTTATTGTTTTCTGCAGCAATAGAGAGTGATGTGCAGGTCAGTTAATCTTCTCTGACATAAAATAGTCTCTGCTCTTCTGTAATTACCGAAAAATGGCATTAGGCATCACAAGGAGATGTCTCTAGTTAAAGGCCAGATTTGATTTGCACCACACAATCTCTGGTAGCCTGGAAATCCCAATAACTGCCAGGCCACAATGGGAGATATGCAAGAGAATTTAAATTGCATTGTTATATGTTTCCCGATCATTTAAACATGGACTGTTATTTGTTGGACTAAAGACACCTGTCCCTCTTCATTCAGAATTGTTTCTCTGAGATATCACATATTTTGAAGCTGAAACCCAGGCAGATATAAAAACACAGTTTAATGCAATTATGCATTCATTAAAAAGTTGTATGTTTTATTGTTAAAGCAAAGCTCCACCCAAAAGGGGAAGTTCCGCTTTAAGGCTTTGTCCCCTGCTCCCCAATAAGGATTGGCACCTTTGGGGAGTGGGGGGGAGGGAGGGGGTATTTGACAAATTTGACAGGTACCCTGTCCCACTTCCTCTGCAATCGCCTAGGCAATCAGAAGCAGAAGTTGTCCTCTCCTCCTCCCTCCCCATAGTTTTCTGGGACACGGGACAGGTCCCAGAACACTACGGGGCCATTCACAAACCGCAGCGCTACTCACGCATGCGCAGTGGACACCCGGCTGTGAAGTCGCAAGCTATCATAGCCGGGTGCCCACACTGAAGATGCTGGGACAGGTGAGTGTCCATTTTTTAAAAGTCAGCAGATACAGTTTTTGTAGCTGCTGACGTTTATTTTTTCTAATTCCGACTTGACCTCCACTTTAAGTGCTACTGTTGGTGGATCTAAAACAATACAATCAGATTGTAACATGCATGGTGAGCTTTTAAGTGACACTTAAAGTGTTACTAAACCCACATCAGTAAAATCAGTCTGTATATGCAGTAAAGCATGCTTGTTATGCTCACTGTGGAACTTAAGGGGTTAATCCTCAGCATTGTGTAAAAAGGATGTTTAATCCTGCCTTCTCTCATCCTCCCCTTCTTCTACTGTTCCCAATCCATCTGCTGATGGAACAGAGCCTTGGGGGCAAGCTGTACGGTTTTTTTTTCTTGGAAGAGTGAATGTGATCAGCACAGGGCCAATCAGCGCTATCCAGACAGTCAGGGGTTATGCAGCCCCATAGGACAGTCAGAAGAGAATGAAAACTCCTTCTACAAGCTTTAACCAGTGCTTTGCTGGACACTGATAGAAGTAACAATATTGCTCTAACTGCTGATGAGAAAAGGTATTTAGCAGTTTATATTTACTAAAATAATTGCATTTCCATGTTTTGTGTACTGTGGGAGACCAGATATAGTGAATACAGGGTCATGGGTTTAGTAACATTTTAAGCCTTCTACACACTACTAGTTTTTTTTGTGGTCAACCCAGAGAGCTTAGGAGAAGTCGCTGTACTAACTGTCTGATGTTAGTACAGTAATCTTCCCTGCTGTACTATTGTGTTCTGACAGGGGGATGGCCCCGCCAGAACACTCCAATTGGAAGCCGATCTGCAGACCTTTTTCAGTCATGCCCCTTTGACAGAAGCTGGCCGAATGGTAGTGATCAGTCATTAAACAAAACTGTGGGGAAGATGACACACTGCAGCGGGGGGTCACAGCATGAATAGGGAGGAGAAAAGAAAAGGAAAAAAAAAACCCTGCATTGAAATATTTCAGCACAAGGGGAAAAAAGCAGTTACCTAAATGACAAAAAATGTGGCAGAATTATACTCACCTCCAATCCCATGATACGCTGCCCCAGAGCTCCTCACCTGGTCACTGACCTATTCAAACAGCCAGACTCCAGGTCCCGAACGCCGGCCGCTATCGTTGGCATCAATCCCCTGCATCAATCCCGTGCAAGATCGGGAGCTCTGACAAATTTGGCATTGCTGAATTTGTACAGTGAGTTGCGCTTGCGCAGCAGTATAGGGATGGACAGGCAGGTAGGTAGCTTTAATTTAAAAATCCTGCCTATTCAATATTTAATTGAACTGCTTTTTTAAACTTATACTGAAATATTACACTACAGAGTTTTTTTTTCCCTTTTCAGTATGCTATAAGTTACAATGACAATACTAAAAGATTGAATGAAATTTAAACAATTTTTCATGCCCTTACTTTTTCCTGTTATTTACTTCCTGAATGGATGGGAGAGCCCTCTGGAGCATACAGAGAGAGGATCTGTCACTGCTTGGAGCTGAGAAGCTGGCCACTGTCAAACAAGGTCCCGCCTCCTGGATCATCTCCTATGGTGGACATCACACTGGTCCAATTTCCGAGAATTGGACCAGTGTGCTGTCCATCAGAGGAGAAGACTTCTCAGGTCCAAGACTGGCTTCTGAGCTCCAAGCGGTGATAGATACCCCCACTGCCGGCACTGGCCGGCTCTCCTTCCCACTCAGGCTGTGATTGGATGCAGTGTGTTACATTTCCCATAGTTTTGTTTAATGAATGATCTCCGTCTCCATCGCTTCCACTGTGTGTCTTCAGCGGAAGCGGTGTGGCCTTTCACATTGCATTAGAGCAGTCCAGGGGGCAATACCCCCCCCCACCCCGGTACCCAGTCCACCCTTGATTACCATTCTAAAAATTACAAAAAAAATGAGCTTTACATATACTTTATTCAGTTCTGCACAATGGTAGGATAAACATATAATGGGATAGCCAAGTAATTCCTACACTAAGGATTAAGGGAAATACAGTTGAAGTCTCTAAGTAGTAAATAAAATATGACTACTGATTGAACCCACCAGTCCTTACACTAGACCAAAGATGATCAGGTATGGGTGGATTTATTCTGTAATGTTACCACTCTTAACAAGCTGCAAGGTTTAGAATCTTTGTCTCAAAACTTATTTTTCAGAGTAACAAATGATGCTCGAGAAGCAGAGATGGATGAGAACCTTGAGCAAGTCAGTGGCATTATTGGAAATCTTCGTCACATGGCTCTGGATATGGGCAATGAGATTGACACACAAAACCGCCAGATCGACAGGATCATGGAGAAGGTGGGTGAAGAATTTTATAAACAGATGTGTTACTGCTGTGTGGTGGAAAATAATGACAAAAAATTCACAAAAATGTTCACTTCAGTTGATATGTGCATATGCTTATCAGGTGTACATAGCTGTCACCTCCGTTTTGCCTTTGCCTCAGATCTGGAGCCAAAATGGAGGTCTACCAGGGGCATGTACGCAGCTGCTAATAAAAATGTGTTAGGGGATTAGCAGGGAAAACTAGCCTAGACTATGAGGCTTACTCAGTAGGTCAATACAAGGTGCAGTAGTGCTGTACATAGTTCAGTAATTCAAAACTACCAAAGATTGTCTGTTAAAGCCTTTGTGTAAAAATACATGTTTTTTAAAACCCCCCTTACCTATAAAAGGAAGCAGTTAAATATTTCCTAGTGCCCAGCAAACACCATTCTGATCATCAGGATCGGTCCTCCAAAGTCCGCAATACTTCTGGGAGGCTTGTGCTTTTGTATAGCCTACTGTTATGCTTACCTCTACCACTGGTGGTCAGGCACTATAGCTGGCTCTGTGTTCTTCTGTGTTCTTTCCCATAAGGCAAGCAGGCCTACTTGTACTCAGTAACTCCCAGGTCTTATATACAATGCTATAGTGTCTGGTTAATATGCCAGGGCTGGCACGAGCTAAGCACAGCAGATAGGTACTGGTGGTTGGCAGACTGGCAGAGTGGTCCAATGGCTTGGCAAGCTTAAAAAGAGGTTTGGTCCCCAACCAGAAGCTGTTCCCACTCCAATCACACTGCAGGTGTACAGTCAGGGGGAGTGCAGTTCAGCTAAAACCAGGATTCTGGAATTAGGCCAGCAGCTGCCATGGAACAGGAACGTTACACATTCCTAACACCTACATATTTGTCCTAAACCATAATCTTAAAATGAGGTAATAACTGAAAAAAAACAAGGTGGTTGATGCAAGAGCCATAAATTAGGTTTCTTTGTAGAATGACAAGGCATATTCTGCTTTGGACTAGTGGAGAAGAGTCCCATAGTAGAGCCACTGTTCCTTTAAACTAATGGGTGCTGGCTAAATGTAGATTTATAACAATATATAGATAGATGACCTCTGGGAAGTTCCCTTGGGAGTTGTACCTGGTACACCTAACTGGGTTAAGGTTTCATGAGTAGACCCAGAATGTACTAGTAGGGTTATATCTTCCAGCTGGAAGGTAAATGTCTTGGAATGGGTAGAGTCATTGGTTGGACAGAGGAAAGTCTTGGCCTGCCTATTTAGCCAGTTTACCTTGTTACCACAAGATTAAGTGCTAAGGAGACAAATGAATAAATTAAAGATGTTTACTTAGTTACCATATCATTTTTTACCTTTTAGGCCGACTCCAACAAAGCAAGGATCGACGAGGCCAACACACGTGCCACAAAGATGCTGGGCAGTGGCTAAACGCCTCAAGACTTTATTATCTGCTCCAAACTGTTCTGCTAGACAGTACTTTCATGCTTTTACCATGGTATTTACATACTAGGTTTGCACACATGCACATATCACCCTCCCCCTCCCCTATTGTAAATGTTGTCCTGTGTAGTATGTCAGCTTTCCAAAAAAATATACTTGTAATTATTTTTTTTTAAAGTATATTCCTTTCCAAAGGTTGTATATATAGTGATCTACGCTAGCTCACTATACTTTTTTTTTTTTTTCTTTTTTTTATGTTTATCATTTTTTATGATGTTTGCCGAATGACAACAGTGTAGGAATGTTTAATGTGCTGTTGACCTTGATCTATACAGTATTGTTCTTGTAAATCTGTGACATTTCACAGAACTACTGCCTATATCCTTTTTTTGGTGTCATGATACTTAAGCTGTGGAACTGTCCTCGGTTCAATGTTGCTTCCATCTGTTATAATTTCATGATTAGAGCGTGAAACTATATAACTATACTTAAGCATTGCACTAACAAGTGATGTGAGTTATGCATTTATGCATGGAAAAAATAGACATTTTAGATGCCTACATACAAGAAGACCTTTTCCCCGTGGCAGTAGCACATTCAATAAAAGCATGCTGAGTATTTGGACACTGTTGGGACTATGTTATACCAGCAAGTTTGCAGTAGTGCCACGTTTCTGTCAATATATTGTTCTATTTAACCATTATCATGCTTTTTTATTTTGAAAAGGACAGACTTGGCACATATCCAGCAGGAAAAAATCTATGTTGCTTTTTTCGTTGCTGGCGATATATAAAAAAAAAAAACTTAAAAAAAAAAAAAATACAAATATGGTTGTAATATAGGGTTTGGGTACTGTTTTTGAGGATCCTCTATGTGAGGAAATGACTACAGTCTACAATAAAATGGTACAGATATGTAATTTTTATAAGGCTGGGTATGGTTAGCCACTTATCCCACGTGGTTTTTATTTTACTTTTCTTTTAAAAGTAATGTTCTCTGTTGCTTACCTAGAGCTATGCACACCAAATCGCTGAGATGTTTAAGTAGATTTAAATTAAGACAATAATCTAAATGAATGAATTCTAGATAAACTGTGATTATCAAAATCATTGCAAGCATGTACTATTAAAATTCCTTCTGTCTCCTGTCAGTTTGTGACGTGATTGACATTTTGTAGCTAGTTTAAAACAATTAAAAATTATAAATCTAAAGGTCTCTGCATTTTTTCTTGTCTTGTCTGTGTGTCACTGGTTTCCACCCACGTGTAGAATTGGTGGGCGCATTTCCTTGCTGTGTGCAGATTGTAAAATGTTCATCCAAAAAAAAATTAAAAAAAAGGGTGCTAATGACAGAACTATGGTCTAATTAAAAGGCCAAGCATTCATTTACTTACTGAGTCGTGGAATGGGCCTGGAACAAGTATACTGCCAAAGAAGTCAGAATAATAGATGGAAATCACCAATGACACCACTTTTTTTAAAGTGGTTGTAAAGTTTGAAGGATTTTTTTACCTTCATGCATTCTATGGATGAAGGTAACAACCTTCCGTGTGCTGCTCCCCCCACAGCACCCCCTAATACTCACCTGAGCCCCCTCTTGAGCTAGAAATGTGCATGAGAGCCTCAGCTGTCCCGGGTCTCTTTTTCCTCATTGGCTGAAACAGCAGCGGAAGCCATTGGCTCCCACTGTCCATAGTTGGGTACAGGGGTGGACTGACAACTCATGGGGCCCCTGGGCAATAGGGGATCATGGGGCCTCTGTGTCCTTGCCCAAACTCTAAAAAGCCTATGAAAAAGGTACCAGGGGCATCTCATGGGGCCCCCTACTGACCCCGGGCCCTCGGGCAGTGCCCGAGTTTCCAAATGGTCAGTCCGCCCCTGGTTGGGTATTTACATTAAAACTGTCCAAAGTGACTGCCCAGAAATTTCAACAAAACACTGGACACATCCATTCGTCTATCCTTAAACGTCATGCTCAGCGGAGGTGCCATAGTTGAAGATAGACATGTGCAATTTGGTTGCAAATCGAAATTCAGACAAAATTTTTGTTATTCAGAGATTCAGATGTATCCAAATTTCAGAATCACAGTAGTAACGAATTATAACAAAAAGAATTATCTGAATTTGAACTCGAAAATCAATTCAAAATGGAAACATATTGCAATAAATCAATATTATAATCACCATGCAAACCACACTACAAAAAAAAATTCATTTTAAATTATCTGTCAACTTAATGAATGAATAGCAAATTAACCTCTTCATGCCGGCCGCACGGAAATGTGCGGGCTCCTGGTGTCTGGGCCTAAACGCCGAGTGGCTGCACATTTGCGCTCTATTAAAAAAGTAAAAAAACAATATTTTTTACTTTTTGCTATTAAACATGCCCAGTAAAAAATTTAAAGAAAATCAAATTTCATCATAAATTTAGGCTAAAATGTAGTCTGCTACATGTCTTTGCTGAAAAAAAATCCAAATACATGTAAATTAAGTGGTTTACATGAAAGTTATAGCGTTTAAAAATGGCGGTATAGATACTGGAATTTATTACTTTTTTACTAATGGCGACGATCAGCGACTTATAGCAGGACTGCGGCAGTCATTCTGACACTGGAGGGAAACTGACTTGGTGTCACTGATATCCCCAGTGACACCAATACAGTGTTCAGTGCTAAAAAAATCACTGACACTGTACTAATGGCACTGGGCAGGAAGGGTTTAACATGAGGGGTGATCAAAGGGTTAAATGTGTGCTGGGAGTGTTTTACTGGAGGGCAGTGTCAGTGTGCTTCACTGTAAGGACACTGCTCTGGATGTTGTGCACAGCCATCCAGAGCAGTGTGCCTGAGCCGAGAGGGATGAGGACTGTTAGTAAACAAAGCAGCCCTCCTCCCCGTTGGAGATCCTAGGTAATCACAGGCCGGGACCCGGTGATTGACAGCCACGTCCACGAATGGCAGTGCACCCCTTACTCGGAAATACTAAATCACGTACATGATTTTGCGCACACCCTGCCACCCTGTAGCAGTATATCTGCTATAGGGTGGTGGGAAAGCGGTTAATTGCCGAGTGGCTTGGTGATTGAGGAGCCTTATAACATTTGACAGTCATCACAAGTGCAATTGCCTATCAAGTTTAGATGGGCCATGACATCTGGTGAGTGCCACTGAATTGGAGGAGGCTTTTCTCTGGAGCACGTGGTGACACTTCAGTGACGTTTTTTGCACATGTAGAAGTAATTTTATTTGATCATGTGATGATAAAGTGGATCAGAAGGACTTTTCATTTAACCACATATTTCATATAAATTTTTTTTTAGTGGACTTATTTGAAGCATTTATGTGTTTGATGAATTAGACTTTCACTGATGCAATTTTATAGATTTTTTTATATATTTTTATGTTATAACACATTATTTTATTGTATATTAATTTATGTTACTGTTGTATACTTTATTTGTTGCGCTGCTTTCACTGGTTAATTGAAAGATATTGAAATAAATACAGTAAGGTATAAAAGTGAAATAAGATGATGATTCCTAGTTAGGCTACGTTTTAGAATATAATAAAATAGAATAGAAAAGAATAGAATAAAAAAACAATAAAATAGCATATAATATAAATGACTAGAATAGGATAGAAAAGAATATAATAGGATAAAACAATAGAATAGAATGAAATGGAAAAGAATAGAATAAAACAGACTAGAATAGAAAATAATAGAAAAGAACAGAAAATCAAAGAATAGAATAGAAATTAAAAGGATAGAATAGAATAGAAAAAATGGAATAGAATAGAATAAAATAGAAAGAATATCATCGTCTTCTGAAATTCAAATTTCAAAAGTTGAATAGAATAGAATCAAATAGAAAGAATATATCCATCTTCCAAATTCGAATTTCAGATAGGATAGAACAGAATAAAATAGAAAGAATATAGTTGTCTTCCAAAATTTGAGTTTCGAAAACAAAATAGAATAGAATAAAACAGAAATAGAAAGTAAAAGAATAGAGTACATCTTCCATGTGACGGGCGCGGCCTCAGACCCCAGCCCTTCTCAGCCAATTTAAGACCACATGCGTAACAGTGCCACTCTCAGCTGCACCTGCACAAAGATTTTCCAGCTCGCTGGACCACAATCTATGTGCCAGCAGACTGAGAGCGATTGTTACTGGGTCAGGTTAATTACGCAATTAACCCTTCACACTGCCACCACCACCTTTTTACAGAGAAGGAGGAAACTCACAAATCTTAAGAGTAACACTATGATGTTTGAATAAGGGTCTGTATACACACTACCACCCCAGATAGATATATGCAGAGGTTTTAAAACATACAGTAGCACTCTTCTGAAACAGGGATTCTTTTAGTTTGCATTAAAAGCTTCAGAGACAGTTTCAACACTTTTCAGAAAATAGGATTTATTACTAAAAAGGTCAAAATGGTGCAATTAAAATATTTACAGAAAAAGATGCAACCAATATTTATATATATAAATAGAGAGAGCAATAATACAACAGAGAGATAAAAGAAAGAAGTTTCAAAAGGTAGGATACTTGCAGAAGTCCTTGGTTTAGGCAGAGTTCATGTGTCCGAACAAAAGGTTGACTTTTCTCCCAAAGATGGTTCCTGGTGTTAAAAGGGAGAATCTCTTCTTCTTTCTCTCCAGGCATGACAGCCTTTTTTCTAGTGTCCCAGCAGGGGGTGTCTACTGAAGCCAAGGGCCAATCGCCTCATTTGGGGAGTGGTGTTAGGCGGGAACCCAGGCTATAAACCAAATCCCTCCCAAGTTTATACCATGGTTAATAACCTTCACTAGGTATATGAAGCATCCTAGCCACTGGCAGATTAATATGCAGGATCATATTCTGAACGTCTAGACACCAAATATGGCATATCTTACCATTCCAGATAAAAACATATTGCTTTCTACTCTCCTGTAGATGCCACATAGGGGTGTAAGGTATCAGGTGACTTGTATTAAAATAAC